AAATGTTTAAGTTTTCACTGCCAATCCAGTGTTATGCTTAGAATTAGTTTCTAACAAGAAAAAAATGTTGCTCATCTTTTAAACTTCGCACTCAAACAAAATTTCTGAATGGCTTCGTTACGAATCAAACAATCAGAATAATACGAAAAGAATACTACACAAGTTTATTAGTTCTACTTTGGGAGTGAAAATTTCGTTCGAAATTCATTTTCACAATCGCTTTCTGAAGAGACTGCACTATGAAAAAACATACGTTTACTTGTTGGGTCTGTGGAAAATCTTCTTTGTTCACCACTTGCTTGATAGCGCAATGTAACGACGTTGTTCTACCAGTGAGAGTAAAGCCTTAATTGGTATATACACAACAAGTGAGTTACCTTGTACTTCACCCATTCATCCGTATACATCAATTACATGACAATCACACATTCATCATATACTACGTTTTGCTTCTAAAGATAGATACCGTCGCTTTGCTTGTTCTATTCTACGTATCTTGAAAAGCTTAATCGGCCATGAAACACAATCAATCCAAGGATTAAAAAATATGCGCTATATCAAGGCTTTATTTGTTTAGTTTTCACAATTAGCAGACACCACATACAAACATACACATTCTTCTAGCAAAATCCATGTCGTACTTTTACTTGAACTACCGTTAGTATACTAACGGTATACCAACGATTTTCTTGAACATGACGGTACAATATTCATCAAAAAAGTTCCGAAGTATATGGGCATTTGTCTACATAAATTATTATTTTTTTTTTGCTTTTGTTTAGATCAATGTAAACATCACATTAAACAGTGAGTATTTATTATGCCAATATTGTTTTCCTTTTATTTAGGTCAATCTCAACTAGAGTTGTTACGCTATCTTTACTTAATAAAATGAATATAAATACAATGTTTGCAGTTATAAAAAAAATAAAAATAAAAATAAAAATAAAATCTATATCTTTATAAAATAAAGATAAAGAAATTCTATATTAAAAGAAAAAGTAACGCTCATCTAACAATTTGCTCATCTTCTTCTGAAAGAAGAACAATATTCAAATTAATTCTTTTTCCGTAAATAAAGCAAATATTATTAATTTCTCTTTGGTTTTTTTAACTAAGCTCTCTCTCGTGTAATTTTCTTAAATTTAAAATCAAGTATTGCGTTTTGAGACATTCTGTTTTTATCGAAATGTTCTTTTAAATAGTTGTCGTCTATTGTTAGAATTTATTCTTTCGTTCCTTGAATTTCATGGATGTATTTTATGTCAGGTATAATATAGCTCATATCTTCACTCATATTTCTTTTACCTAATAATCTTTTTGTTAGACCTATTCTTCTTATATTTTATATTCTTATTCCTTGATTTTCAAAAAAAGAAAACGAAAAATAATGAACAAAAAAACAGCAAAGAATATGATTCTCACTCTTTCTCTTATTCGACTCTTTATCTCTCTTCATCCATTATAAAAATACCATTGAGAAAAGAAGAGTAAGAATGCCATTAATATACAGTCATGATATCATAAGAGAATAGAGAGAACCTTTTTATGTTAGGAGAGACATCTCCTGAGGCAACACCTCTCCTAGCCACAAGAATTGTGTAAAAAAAAGAAAATAAAATAGTTCACGAGGTTGAAGCAGAAAATTAGATAGATTTACTCATAGTACTGTTGTAATAAATGTGTATAGATGCTCATAAAACGAGACAGAGAAGAAAAAGAAAAAAAACAAAGTTGGCGAAACTAATGAGTAAATGGTGTACAACTAAAGAATAATGATGAAATGATGAAGCATTTGCAAAATACAATGATTAGAATGTTTGGATAATCAGAAATAGTTAAAGCATGAAGACTTTTAATGAATGACGAAAAGAATGAAGATACAATTAGACTAGTTGACGCGTTTGATAACATAGCTTGTTTGCGAAGGACGGTAGATAACGAAGAAGGATATTGTTGTGGGGGGGGGGGGGGGGGGGGGGGGGGGAACTTGATTGAGGCATATGAGCATAAGGTGTTTGGCAGAATGATTGAGCGTTTTGAGGTAAAATTGCAACAAGGCGTTGCTGTTTTTTGGCATTTTGTGCTAATAAGTGAACGATTGGACAGCAATGTTTGCAGACATAGACAATGAAGGCGCGATGATGGTAAAAGCATTGGCAATCAACTGGATATACAGAGCATAATGCGTCCAGTCAGTGGAATCAAAACTTTTAGTTTGTGCAAGAAGCTGCTTGATTTCATTATAATATTGTCATATTTTGTTTCAAAAGAGACTGAATGGACGATCCAAAAACGCTGCACTAGATGCAATCATGTTCAGCACACAAAACGTAAGGAAGGTCGCCACAAACAAAGACTTCCATTTGTGAGAATAATGCGAAACCGGGTATAAATGTATATTATCTGTGCTTGACATAGGATAATGGAAGGAGAAAAAGAAGCACAAAGCTGTCTGTATGTTAGATCGAAGTAAAATCAGATGTGAACTATATTATGTGTTAAATACAAAGCGATGCGTGCGGGTATGTGATGCTTGAGGATGATCGTTGTTTGAATACGAAAATAACCAGGATCTAAATAGTCAGCGAGGATAGACGCGTTTGATATTATTCAAGTGAACCTGGAATCGTTGAAGATTTTGGTGTTTGACAAGAAAAGACACAAGAGAAAGAACTTGAATAATTCTAACAGGATTTGTATATCGAAGGTTGAGTTTACTTCGTCTGCCAAAACTGTCATCCATACTAATTAGATCATATAGTTTAACATTGGGATGCAACCGATTTCGATCGAAAAAAATTTTTGCTAATTGTTGTTGATAAATAATGTAATCTCTTGCCTGTTTCAAAGGCAATACTCCGAAATTTCATCACTTGCATTCAATAATCTTGTGGTTTTCTGGATATAAAAGTAGATTTCGTAGGATCGAATGGATTTCGTGGTCGGCGGCCAAATACAAGTTGATACGGCATAAATCCACTAGAGTTGTGTACACTATGATTGTATGCATAAACAATAGATGGTAAATGTGTCCCAATTATTAGAAATAGTGTGTAATATCTCATTGTTAAAATGTGTTCCTTGATCAGTAATAAGCATATCTGGAGGGCCATGAGCTAGAGCGATGTCTTCCATTCATATGCGAGTCGTATCTGGTGCAGTATTTGTAGGTGATGCTTTCGTGAAAACATATCCCGATAATCGATCCGTCAGTACCAAAATGTATCTTTTACCAGCAAGTGATGCTGTTGTAGGTCCCACCAATCCTTACATAATACTTGAAAGACTTGTTTAGGTGGTTGAATAGATTGTAAAAATCAAGAAGGTTTATGACGATTAATATTAAATGTGGAGCATTTATCGCATAATTGAGTATAAGAAATAATTGTTGCGTACATATGTGGCCAATAATATTTGCTTCGAAACATATCCGAGGTACGCTGAACACTAAAATGACCACTTAAATAGTGATCATGATGAGCCTTGAGTACTTCGAGAATTAATTGCGATGGCACAAAAATTGTTCAAATGAGGGGAGACGGGAGGGATTGGTGCAAAGGCAAACTACTCGTCTCTTGAGAATTGGCATCGTGTTCGAGCCTTTTCTCCCTCAGCACCATGTTTATATAACTGTTCTGATCTGTACACCACAAGCTACTTGTTCGTCGATAGTCTAGGCATTCTGTTCGCATATCAAAGTGGTTCGACTCGGCAAGCCATCGCTCATGACTCATATTATCTTTGCTCACAGTTTTATATGCTGCATGTTTGTGCATTTGATTTAATGGCTTTTCGTTCTTCATAAGTTACTTGTAATCAGCATTGTGCACATTTAGGTCCTATCATGGACGGAGGGTTAAATAAATCGCAAATAAGGAAATGGTTCGAATGTTAATGTGACCATGACGAACTGATTTATAAATAATATTATTCTGGATCATAAATGAACGATGACCTTGTTTATTGCGAATTTGTTAAATTGTTGTTCTAATCACTAGGTCTTGTTCTTCTTCAGAGCGAATACGCAACAGACTAAAAGCATATAATGAAGGAGATAATGATGGTGAAAATTGAACTGTTGTGGATGTTTGTGTAGTAGTTGTTAGAAGTGTAAGGAGACGATTCATAAGTTTACCTTGTGCTCGGATGGTAACAACATTAAGTTCTGAATTGATAGTAGCAGTATTCAGCATAGGGTGTACTGAAAAAGTTAAGTTGATAAAGAGTTCACGTTGTGGCTTTGGTATAAATTCTGATCAATTTTCAGAACCTGTTGGCCAGTCATCATGTAATTCATTGACGACAGCTGAACTAGTATTGATAGGTTCGAATGAAGGAAAATGTGGTGATATATAATTAGTAGCTGCAGTATTTGCATCTGTACGATATTTGTTTGCAATGATTTGTGGTAAAATATATTGTAATTTGAAAAGCCAATTCGTCACGCGTTTATTGCTGATTTGTTCTTTGTGAAAATTTTCAAGTGGTTTATGATCAGTTTCAACGATAAAACCAAAATTACCCATATATGAACGAAGTTCAGTAACACATTAATAAATAGCCAAAGCTTCTTCCTCCAATGTATCATATTTTCGTTCAATATCATCTAAAATACGAAACCTGAAATAATTAATTTTCGCACCATTTGGAGTACCTTGGTGTAAGATGCCACTAATGCCAAAATCGGATACGTCGGTCGTTAAAGTAAACGCAACCGATAAACCAGAATATTCTAAAAATAATGGGTATGTGGTTAAAATACGTTTAAATTAATCAAATGAATGCTGTTGATTCGGGTCCTACATAAATTCAAGTTTATATTGTTTGTTTTTATCACTAACTTTGTGTAATGGTGCAGCTGTGATAGCAAAGTTTGGAATGAATTTTCGATACCAGTGGATTTTGCCTTAGAATTAATTTGCTTCTTTTAATTTTCGCGGAGCTGGTCGTTCAGTGATTGCTTTAATTTTTTCACCATTTGGTTTGATCAATTGTTCATTGATAATATGACTTAACAAAATCTATTTTTTGAACAGGAAAAGAACATTTATGGGGATTAACTTAAAAATTCGCATCAACTGATATTGATAAAATCCATGTAAATGTTTTTTATAATCATCAAAAGTGCTTGAAAATATTAGGATATCATCTAAATAAGTCATGGCATAATCCCAACGTCCATAATCAAGGAGAGCATACATGATGCTCTAGAAAATTAATGGTTCATTCATAATTTCTTGTAGAAGAACATTAAATTTCCATAGTCCATCTTGTGCAATGAAAGCAGATTTTCTTTATCATGCTCATGCATAGGAATCTGAAAATATCGTGACTTGAGTTCGAGTTTTGTATAATATCGATGACGAGCTAATCGATTTAATAATTCTTCAGTTATTGGTTGTGGAAAAGAATCCTTTTTAGTGACAGAGTTTAATTTTCTATAATCCACTGACAATCGAATATTACCGTCTTTTTTTTATGAATAATAACGGGAAAAGGCCATGGTGAACTTGAAGAACGGATTTTATTAGTTTGTAGCATCATCTGAATTTCATCTTGAAACTCACGTCGCTGTTGGATCGTTCTTGGATACAGTCAAGAACTAATTGGAAGATTGTCACTTGTGTTAATAGAATGTTGAGTAGGAGTGTTGACTAGAGTAACTATTGAAATATCAAATACTTTACTGTGCTGTTGTAAGATTGACAGAGTTGATGGTTGTCTCTCAGATTGTTAATATGGTCAAGTAATTTATCAATGACATTGAAGACTGTCCCTGGAATTTCTTGAAGTTCAAGAATGTTAATAATAGAATGTTGAGATAATGATGACTGCGAATAACTGGATGGCATAACGAGCGGGAACGAGTTGACTTGAAATAGTACATATGTAACTCGACCCAGAAGGGTGTTCATAGATAGTATGTGTATAATCATGAGGATTGTATACATTTACATAGAGTATTAATGAAATGATCAGTATTTTTTTGTAGACGATCACTCAAATTTGCTCAGTATTATATGCATATTATCAGTAAAGAAATCAAACTATCGGTGTAAAATTTGATGCTCGGTAACTATTATGTTTACTCAGTTAACTACTTAGGGCATTCCAAAAGTAGTGGCAATGACACTTTAATACTGTATAGTAAGCTTGAAGAAATTTTCTTTTTTTATGTGGTGATAGAGAAAACGATGCTCTATTTTTCTGTGCTATTTGATCACTCTTCCACTAATATCATAATAATAAAATTTCGATAAGAACTGTTTTTGTGTAAAACTTCACTAGCGGATGAGGCAGATTAATGGCTATGTTTTGCATTTCAATTTTCAATCACTTAATACGTTGTATTAAAAAACAAAATATACCACAAGATACAGCGTGAAAAGCTCTACAATTTACAAAGCACAGTTTATTTCATATATGGAATAAGAAAAAAGGAATTTCTTTTCGGATAGAAAAAAAAATGATTTTTTTCGGGGCAGCGAACATGGTCGCACAGAATTTTGCGTTTTTTTGAAAACAAGAAGTACACAATTAAAATGACCTTTACTTGGGAGATTATAGAGCTTTTCATGCTGCATCTTGTGATGTATTTTGTTTTTTTTAAATAAAAGATATTAGGTTACAAAACGATGAAATGAGAAAAAATGAATTCATCTTGTACCAAAAAAATATCGTTTTCGCACGGTTGAAAATTGGTCGCTCAAAATTTTGTTCATTTTGAAAACAAAAAGTGCAACTATAAAATAAGTGGTCTTATGTAAATTGTAGAGCTTTTCACCCTGCATCTTGTGGTATATTTTGTTTTTTAATACAACATATTAAGTGATTGAAACATTTAATCTGTCTCACCCGCTAGTGAAGTTTTACACAAAAACAGTTCTTATCGAAATTTTATTATTATGATATTAGTGGAAGAGTGATCAAATAGCACAGAAAAATAGAGCATCGTTTTCTCTATCACCACATAAAAAAAGAAAATTTCTTCAAGCTTACTATACAGTATCAAAGTGTCATTGCCACTACTTTTGGAATGCCCTAAGTAATTATTTGATCAGTAAATCAATAATTCGTTCAATATTAAAATTAAAGTATCGGTAACTAATTCAGTTTGCTCAATTAAAAATTCATTTACTCATTCAATGACTAGCATTTAATCAATAATTATTTTAATTTTTTCGATGAACATATTTTGGTGTAAATAAAAGGATGATTGTCCACGTTGACTAATGATGGCATCGTAAGTCAAAATATATTGTTTTTTTTCTTTCCTTGGCTTTAAGATATTTTCCAAACGGTCTCTTCTTTTGATATAGTTCAGGTATTTTCTTTGTCTTCATGTTTTCTTCCAGGTGTCATTGGTTTTTCCCCTAGTTGGTTCAGATATATATAGATGCCATTTAGAAAATAAAACAGAGTTTAATATTGATCTCCTTAACAATATTATATCTGATTTTGCTTAAAAATGACAACGGCTATGGGAATTGTTGAAGTATCAACTTATATTTCTGACGAGAAGATAAATCCAAATGAAACTATAGATAACAGAAACAAGAACAGAGCAAAAAAGAGGCAAAGAAATTAGGTGAAAGAAATGGTGTTTAACAACGCTAAAGAAGCTGAAGAACCAAAAGTTAGAGAAAATCAATGGAGTTATCATTATACAAATACAACAGTTGAGCGAAAAAAAGAAGTTTTTTTAGATATAAGAAGATTAAACTTCGTGAAAAACAATATGATGCTTGCATTTATTTGTTATTTAACTCTACAAATGATAAAGTTATTTTATATTGTAATAAACCAGACCATACTCATGATTATATGCAAGGAAAATTTCAAGAATATCAAATGAAGTAAAACCAATAATAAATGAATTATTAGAATTGAGATTAAAACCGAAAGCCATAATCGAAGCACTACATAAACATGGAATGGTAGCATCAACCATTGACCAATTAAACAATTTTATAAGAAGCATAAAGACTAAAAAAATTTGGTCCAAGTACAATAAGTCTCGGCGAAATTGAATAGTGACGTATAGAATCGAGCTAGTCAATTCCAGAATTAGATGATACACTTTTCATTGCATCGTACGAAATTATTTATAATGATGATGATGTCAAGGGAAGCAAGTTTCGTTTTTTTGTTACAGCCAAAAGACTCACAAATTGTTTGAAGATTCAAAAACTTCATGCAGATGCAACGTATAAATTGGTATGGCAAGGATTTTCGGTTCATGTTCTTGGTACAACTATTCTTGATCGCCACTTTCATTCATTTGGTATGGTTGTTTGTTCAAACGAAAAAACAACAGACTTCATAGTTGTGTTTTGTGCTCTTCACGAAGGTATACAGAAACTCAGTCTAGAAGAAATAAATCCATATGTTTTAATTGCTGATGGCACTGATTCAATACGTAATACATTTCAAAATGTTTTTGGAGGAAAAAATGGTCATGTGTTGGGGTCATATGCAACAAAAAGTAGTGGAAAAGATAGAATCAAAGATAGACAAGTCAGAACGAGAAGATTTGGTAAATGATACCGAAACATTACAATTACCACAAAGTGAACGAATATTTTAAAAAGCTTCCAATCTCTTTGTAAAAAAAATGGGCGAACAGGAAACCAAATTTTATAGAATATTTTCGAAGCGAGTGGCTAACATTACCTAATGAATAATATGAAGGTGTTCAACATTTCACACAAAGCACAACTAATGCTTTGGAAGCAGCAAACAAAGTTATATAGAACGAAAATACATTTGGAGAACGTCTACCATTATCACGATTTAAAGTGTTAGCATTTGAAACTGTTGAAAAATGGTCAAAATTGTACCCACGAGGTGTAAACACATACAATGGCAAGGAAACAATAAATCACAAGATTTATGGACAAATATGTATCAATGGGTTAAATCAAATAAATTAATTGTGCAGACCAAATTTGATAATTTAATTCAATATTATATACCTGCTGGAGACGAAACAAATATTATAGATGTCGAAATTGATTTAATGAAGAAAATGAAATGGTATTCTTTTGATCAGTATAAAATAAATGCATTTAATATTTGGTCTATTATATTACCAATAGATAAATTAAAATATTTAGATGATGTCCGCGATTGTCCAGCATTTTTCAAAATATTTATGTGTAAACATGTTGCCGGTATGGCAATTAGATTAAACTACTGGAAACTACCACCAGCTGCTAAAAATGTTAGAATTGGTGAAAAAAAGAGGGTGTGGGCGTGGGCGTGGGTGAATGTGAAGGAGAGACTCACACTTTTCACCATTATCCATATCCACATCCACATCCTCACCCACACCCATACCGACATCCACACCCACACACCTACCCATTGTCCCTTTGACGTCACCACTAATGAACAGCTTGCCATTTTTTATGAAGCAGTGATACCAACGTTATTATAATTTTGAATATCATTCATGCTGAACTTTTTCTTTTTTTTGTCTTGTTCATTAAAATCCAAAGTATTTAAAAAGCAAAAACCTCGGGATAAGTTATGTGTTTATGAAATGTGGGTTATTCATTTCTATTTGTGATATATATATTTAATAAGCAAGAAGAGATACATTTGAACAAGCAGACTCTTTCTGTAAAAGGCTTTTTACACAAGAGGTCCAGGAGAAAAGTGTCAAAAAGTGCGATTTTTACTTGTACGTCCTTTATGCATGGCTTTGTGATAATTTTATTGAAAGTTAAAAACAAAATCTATAACGCAAAGTTTATTTAACAGAAAATTTCGTGTCTTTATAATCTTTGTGCGTTAGAATGAAAAAAACTCTACTAGGTTTCTAGATACTGATTATAACATCAGCACTAATGTGTGTACCACTGCATATATTGTATAACCAATATGAGATAGTATATATAGTATCGAGAGTTTTTGAAAACATTTGAATTAAATAATCAGCAGCTCCTACTGCTCCATCAGTGTAAAAATGAGTTCCTGATTGGGCTTGGTGAAAATAACTCCCATATTGAAAATTATTTGAATTTGCCTTAATTTCACCAGCAGCTGTTGCACTGTTTGGATTACAGTAAGTCCATGATGACATTGTACCAGTTGCAAAATCATTATTTGCAATGAGTTCAACAGTGGATGCTGTTATACTTCGTACAGATACAGCATCAAGCGCAAAAAAACCAATATCTTCACGAAAAGAGAATGCAATACGAGTTCGATTTGAAATAGCTGCATAGGTATATGTAGATTGTGTCTATGTTGTTATATTTTGGCAATTATCACAATAATAAAGTCTAGTAACACCTTTACATCCAGAAGTACATGCATTCGAAGTAATTGCTGGAAAAAGTAAAAGTAAAATAAAATGTTGTTTGTATGAGATAAAACACTTGTTAATAGTTGTCGCACTTGTGGCAGTTGTTACAGCTAAATATAATAATACATAAATTAGGTTTCGTACACGTAGATTTAATTGTGAAAATTTCACACTATTTTGATTTGCATTATACGCGTAATTATGAAGAAGATTTTAATTTATATGAATTATTTAATAAGACATGTCAATGTTGAATACACCTAGTTGATATCAAACAAAAAAATAAGGTGCCGGAAATACAAAATTGCAGTAGATCTTTTTGTCTCGTTTATTTGTATATGATTTGATAGAGCTTAACCATCTGGTCACGAATATATACTTTCTACTTGGATTCGACTATTAAGCAGCTGAGAAAAACCTTAGAAAAATTGAATGACTAAAAAGGTAGCATTTTGACGTTCAAATTAAGACTTCCTAGAAAAATTTTTGTTGAAAGGATTTAAAGTTGATAGGATTAAAACATACTATCCAGAATAATCCCAGACAGGCTTGAAAGCATGTTTTTCTAGACAATTTTGCAAACCTATCCAGTTTTTTGTGACAAGAAATAGAGACAAGTGTTACATCTGATTAGAATCGTGAGACTACAAGTTACCAAAGTAGCTATTTAGTTGTGTTTAATTTTCCTTTATTGTTAAAAAACTTGAAGTTTTTCCTTCTTCGGTGGCAAAGTCAGATAAAAAGGTGAAAAACACGTTGGTAACCAGCCGTCTTTATTACCATAACTCAACTATGAAGGTAAATAAAGAGTATACTCGAAATCAGCGTCGAAAACTGTATCAAATCATATATTTTTTATTAAGACTTGTTTCCAATGAAAAAAAACACCTGTAGTTCTACTCTGGTCTATTTTCCTAATATTTTGCCGCTACTCTCACAGAGATTAAGTTTTCGTAAGAAAAAAAATTTCCTAAGACATTTTTGATTTGATAGACTTTTTGACGCAGATTACGAATAGGCTTTTTATTTAACTTCACAAATGAGTTATGGTAACCATGTATTTTGATGTATATTTTCGAAAGTAGAGATATTGAAGAAAATGGGTTTTACAGGTTTCAGAAAAATGAGTACCATTTGAAAACCATAAAAGCTAGGGAGGTCGGCTTTGCATCATTTCGTAAGGGTATGTCAAGATTACATTTTGCATAGTTTAGACATATAGGTTTCTATAGTACTTTAAAAAGTTGCGACGAAATCTTTGAAAGATTAATGATGAAGAAATTCTGAAACTGCAAAGATTTTCTGGATTTCTTGATGAATATATAGAGTACTCCTTTAGCTTCATAATGGTGAAGGGGTGTGGGTGCGTTTGTGGATGTAGATGGGTGCGGGTGTGGGTATAGATTCGTGAGTGTTGGTTTGAATAAGCATTCCATTTATACACACATCCACATCCCACACTCTCTCTATTTGCATCTTTGGATAATATTGGACCGAGATATTTACTAAATATGATAATAAAAGAAATATTCCTTGGTTCTTGGTTTTGGAAACTATATAAAACTTTTAATAATCAAAATTTGAATTCTATGAGTAACTACTGACAGATGTTAAATATTGGCAAGTACGCAAAGTTCTTGAGCATCTAATTCTCGATTATATACTCGAAATTCATCGATAGCACCATGATATGGACCAGCAACGATAGGTGATGACACACAACTAGAACTGGATGTAGAAAGTCTTGGACTGTTATTACCAAGCGTGATATACAGACTGAATTGATTAGTAGTAATCGATCCTGATACAGCATCAGTTAATTGTCCATTGATAAATAGACGAAAGCCATTTGTGCTTGAATAAACAACGGCTACATGAGTCCAAGTATTCAACGGCAATAATACACCTTGAGTATTGATAAGAGTTGTCGGGCTTGTCATTAATTGACCCAGTAGCATGCCAGCAGCTGTAAAGCCTAGAAGATCGTAACAAATAGATCCAGTACCATTTTGAAGAGTTGATACATGGACCAATGAACCGCCACCAATAATCATCGTCGGATTCACCCAGAGAGAAACAGATACAGGTACACTAGTAGGACGTATTGTTGGGAAACATTGTGCTTGAAAATAACTTGTATTGACTTTAAAAGAGATCGCTTGTTGAAGTCGACCTGACGAAACCGTCGTTAAATCAAACGAAATACCATGAATCAAATTAACACTACGATCGAGTAATGTGTCTGTTGTATCGAACGGATAATATGCAATGAGTGTAGCATCGTTGTATATTTGACACGCAGTTCGAGCAACACCAGCTGATATTGTAAAATGATCAATAAATCTAGATAAATAACAGAAAAAAATCTCAGAACATTCAAATCTAGATGGCACACAGGATCAGCCTGCGGTGAGAAATCAATGCGAAGCACGCATTCACAAACTAGCCTTATTACTTATAGAATAGTAAAAATTTCGAATGAGTCGAAATGCCAGTTCGTGAAGAAAATCATGTTCCCATACTGCATAACGGAGCATCACTCATATATTATGTTATCATGTTTTCTTCGTTCTTTTGGACTCTTTCCTCTCGTTAGATGTTATCGTGAACAGTTGGGTGGATTTTCTTATGCTGTATTTTTCGCAGTTGATGATATCACATTGTCTTACTTCCTCTCTCTCTCATTATCTTCGTTTGTCAGTTTTTGACAACTGTTTTATTCTTTCTTCAATCATTACTTAATATTCGGACAGACTCTTTCATAAAGCGCAAGTGTTTAGCTATTTGTTTATATACATAAATCCGCCAGTTCCTCTTGAAGCAGAGTTTCTTAACTACTTGATGGAGATGAACTCGTACTCAACGAGGTACTTGATAGAATTGAAATGCTAAATGATTCTCTTATAATAAGTTTTAAGAAAAATTTTTATGGTTCTTGACGATAAGCAAGTAATTATTTAAGATGATTACACCCGAATCAAATCGAATAAAAGATCAAGATCGAACTTTTTCTAACTGAAAAGAAAATCGAAGACCAATGTGACTTTTAATTAAAGATAAACAATAAACACAATTGACGAAAGATGGTAGTAACTGCCGGTTTCGATCACATTCATTAGTACTAACATAGTTCTACATAAGTTAGGCGTTTAAGCGAACTTCCACTGTCTCGGTATCATCTCAGAAAAAAAAATGAAGTCCTCACATCAAAATTGTCTTTTTGTCTCATTAATTAATAGTGAACAGATCTTCATTTTAAATATTTGAAAACATTTAGTTTATCTAGGCACATGGAGCTTCATAATAACTTTTGAATGAAAATTTTGCGGCTCTCCATTTTTCAGATGATCGCGTCACAAAACTGACGATTTCAATATCGAGAAAAAGAACTCACGATCGACTTTTAAACACTGCTTCGCACTGTAAAAAGTCCGACTTGTTTACAACGATTGTTACTATATAGAAAAACAGATCGATCGAAAATTGTATTGTGAATATAATATATATATACAAATATGGCTTCATTTTTCCTAGCCGCACATACAGTGACCTTGCAACTAGGTATGCACCATTACTAGTAACTGGTACATATGCATAGCTAAACCATCAAGTCGAGTCTTTTTGTTTTAGAAAGGTGTTTTTTGCAAAAATAACCTATTATTATGAAGGTTGATCAAAGATTTTCAGAATCGAAAAATCTGAATTCATCGGTGGTTTTTGGAATTTTCGAGTTGAGTTTTTGTGCTCAAGAGATACCACAATCCTATGATTTCCCTCTAAAAAAAGAAGGTTTCCTACTGAACTTTTTAAAGTTTTAGAGGAGACCATGAATCTTTTAAGTTTCTAGATTTGGGTACCATTTTCAGAACCTTTTTTGAGTTCCAGTCGGCAAGTCTAGAACTCTGAAGGTTCCAACTTTTCCAGCTTAAACCTTTTTCAGTTCTAGCGAACATGTCTAGAACTGAAAAAGGTTCTGAAAATGGTACCGAAAAAAAGGTTCAGTATGACACCTTTTTTTTAGAAGGATCGGTAAGTTTAATAAAAAAATCGTCGTTTTTCCAACAAAAGGCTTTTCTTAGACCAAAACAATCAACTCGAACAGTTTTGACAAAACATCGATAGATTCGAATTACTCGACCCCTAAAGCTGTTGATGAAACTTTTACAAAACCGTTACTTTTGTAAAAACACCCTTTCTTAACCAAAAAAACAACTCGACTCGAAAATTTGGAGAAAAAGATGGTTTTGTTATGCATCGTATCGGTAACAGGGCGACCCAGTTTACTGTTATTGGTGTATACTTACGTGAAAATACTATCTCTAATGGAAATTGTCATGCTTGAATCAACTCCGGATGTAGTGAGACGAAGTTATAGAGCGAAAACAGACTTCTCTTTCTCTTTCTGAATACCGATTAGATATATTTAACTACGGTTTCTGAGAGACAACTTCTTTCTTAAAGCTTGATAAAAAATACTCTATTCATTCGCAATGGATAATACAGAAAAAAGAATGATGATGACCTAAGCTATGATACAAAGACTGACTTTTGTTAAAATTTTTTTTTTGAAGTTCTTTCATCACTGTGATCCGTTGTGGCGTACGTTGAGTCTTAATTTCTGAAAACAACTTCATCCAGATAATATTCAATAAAAAAAACACATGCAATAATCTTATTTATGCACTCATCTTCAAATACTTCATTTTAGAACTTTGTAATAATTTTTGGTAGAAAACATTTTTGCAATAAAAGCGTCCTTAAAAACAAAAGAAGAGACAATTTGATTCTGTCAACCGCTTGTTAATCTGAAATTGATCTTCTAGCTGAATATCGAAGACACAAGTTTCATTTTCATCACAAAGATATTTTTGTTGAAATTTCAGCAAGAGATAGGTTTTTCCTTACCCATGGAAATATGATAACGGATAATCGATTGAAGAACTCAGTCCAATATAGGTAGTAGCACCAAGTGATGTTCCTTGATATGGCGTGACACCATTCGCAATAGCATCGATTTTGCCATTAATATAAATCAATTGTTGACAAAGTACAGCATCGTAAACAACAGTTATATGATACCAGTAACTTCTTAAAAGTATTGATCCTCCAAACAATGTGCTCACATTACTGCGCATGGAATCGAACGATAATGTCACACGGAAATTGCGAATACTTATTGACAAACAAATTAAATCTGAATCACATTGACTAAATATACCAAAATCAACTAAACTTGCAGAAGATCGTATAAGAAACCATAACTGAATAGTAAAACTTTGCTGGTTCAAGTTGATATGTGAGATACGAATATACTGTTGATTGGTTGGATCCAAATCAATTGATTGACGGATATAATTCGTAGCAGTAGCATATCCTGGTATAGGTAAGCCATAAGCGACTCCAAGAAAATGTCCACTAAGATCATTCGTATTTCCATCAAAAGGGTATAAAGCAGTGATAATTGATGTACGATATTGTGTCTCCTTACCAATACATGTTTCTGATGAGCAAGCAGATACAAACAAATTCGTCACACTTGAAGCTTCAATAAAAACAATAAGACCAAATGTCAATATAAAGACCTATTTATCAATTTTTATTGGAAAAATGACTTACAACTTGATGAATTTTGACGAAGTACATGCAAGAATATAGGTGGAAGAATGATGGTAGCAGAACAAATAACCAGCACAACAACAATAAAACTCACTCGACCAATCATCTTTTGTTTCCATGTCAAACTACCAGTTGTAGTCGCAAGATTTTTATCATCAACCATTGATGGGCGATGTTCGTTTGATGATGAAATAACGTTAATGGTATTCGAAGAGGACGATTGTTTAACTGGTTGTTTGGAAATTGCAATTCGTAGAGATGTAAATAATAAAGGCGTTAGTTCTGATAGGAAAATCGAACTTCTCTTTTCAGATTCTTTGACATCTATTTTTCTAGTCTATTAAAAAAATAACAAAAACAACAATTGCACATGATATGTCTTGGTCATTTATGAAAAAACTTCTATAATTAGTATTTTGTTTCTTGATCAATTGAACTTCTTTTAACATGAATGATATGCTAGCTCTTGAAAAGATGATTTACTTTTTAATTCAATCATATTTCAAATTTTCATCAGTCTAGAAGAGAAAAAAAATTTATTATTGTCAAGTCACTAGAGAGAAGAAAAAAAAACGAATGTTGAATTTTTCTTTTTCAAAAAGAAATCGTTGATGATCAGAAGCATGGAATACTTTCAATGTCTTCCAATAAAAATTTTTAATTAAATTAGTTTTTGAATCCATACACATTTGAAGTCAATATTTTTTTTTTATTCTTATTTTACCAATAAAATCTCGCTGGATTTTTTATTTTATGAATTACTCGTCCGAAGAGCGGTATCCATGGACGTCAAATTAACAATTTCAAAAAGTCAAACAGTTGAAAAAAAAGTAGATAGAAGTACACATTCGGCACTAACAATAAGACGATATTAGATCGAAGGCTTCTTAAAGAGAAGAAAACGATGAATTACGAAAAAGTATCAAAAATATAAAAGATCAAATGATGTGTACTGAAAACAAAAACTAATGTGAAGTTCTGTGTTAAAGAATACTAGAATGATTCACTCAACAATTTATCTTGATTTGTCATTAGTTGAAATTGTGTAAAATCATTTCAATTATAGATTTATATCGTAGAAAGCTAAAAAACGTTGACCAGTCATTAAATAATTGTCTTGGATTGACAAGTCTTACATTTTGAATCAGTTTTTTTATTTAAATAAACTTAATTAAAAGTGTCCTATCGAATTTATGACTTTTACTAGTCGAATTATGCATATAGAGAGTGTGGGTGTGGGTGTGTATACAAATGGAATGATTATCCAAAACAACACACATGAACCCATACTCACACACTCACACACAGCCAGAACGTTTTCTATTCAAGTGAAGAACGATTTTGAATCTACAAGAAACGCTTTCATAGAAAAGCTGAATGGCAAAGAGCGCATTCCTTCATACGTATTATCCGATCCAAAATAAAAAGGCAGGTTACCATTTTACGAATAGCTTTTGATACGAACGAGATAAAGAGCTGCAGCTTTCACCATTCGAAAGAGCGAGAGCTGAGCACCAATAACATATAAAAACCAAAGGATTGCTATCATATAAAGGTACGTTTAATTAGTTGGACTTTTTCCAAACTTTGCAATCCTCATAATTTCCGTTACCTATTTCTTGTTCAACAGTGGATTCGGTAGCCTAAATCATGCTCTATAAAACTACGTAAACAACAGGTCTCTATCATTTATCACTTAGACAAGACATCAATTTTCCTGGAAGGAACTGCATCGGATTTCACAAGTTCTCATTTCTTCTTGGAACATGGAAAATGTATAGAAAATAGGTTATCATCTACACCGAACGTCCCAGAATAATAAATTTTATCCCAAAAAGAGTGTTCCTGCTTCAGACCATGAAATGAGTCTTCAAACCGAAATACAAAATCGTAATAGAGCTGAAAATTTTACGAAAAAGTAGGTTTTTCTCTAATGGAAATATGTGTGAGTGGACAACAAAAAATAGGAATTCAATCATCAATATCTTTACCGATTTCTTTATTGATTGCATTCTCTGGTTCATTGCTTGTATCATCGTGCATTTCATGATCAGTATCATCATTTTGTTTTTTATTACTATTTGAACAAACACAATCAAGGGTAGGTGTGGGTCTTGGCCTTGTCTGCACCTACACCGGCACCCCACCCCAGATATCATGTAACAATAATATTACGTAAGAATGATATCACGCGTGAGTGATCTAATGTAAGAGCGATGTGCCTATCGGCACAGATGATAGCCTATTTTCTATACATTTTCCATGTTCCAAGAAGAAATGACAACTTGTGAAATTCGATGCAGTTCCTTCCAGGAAAATTGATGTCTTGTTCAAGCGATAAATGATAGAGACCTGTGGTTTACGTAGTTTTATAGAGCATGATTTAGGCCACCGAATCCACTGTTGAACAAGAAATAGGTAACGGAAGTTATGAGAATTGCAAAGTTTGGGAAAAGGCCAACTAATTAAACGTACTCTTATATGATAGCAATCCTTTGGTTTTTATATGTAATTGATGCTCAGCTCTTGCTCTTTCGAATGGTGAAAGCTAGCTCTTTAGCTCGTTCCTATCAAAAGCTATTCGTAAAATGGAAACCTGCCTTTTTATTTTGGATCTGATAATAGTCATCTTAACTGATAGGCGGTATATTCAATACAATCCCTAGTAAATATTCCGTTTGTTGATTAATGAGTACTCGTTTTATAATTAACACAATATAAATAATTAGTTAAATCGCTATTGGCAAACCATAGTTTCTATGTGTATGTATAAGCAAATATTCAAAGAAGAAAGAAAAAGAAATAAGTAACAGTGATATTAGAAAAAAATCAAGGTAAGAAAAGTATCACGTATTCATGAAACGATTCATCACAACTATTTGGTAATTAGTAACATTTTTTAAAATACGGTAAATTACACCGAGCCTTGACCTCTATATGATAATACTTATAATACATAATAAATATCTTTTATTGCATTAAAAAAATAAAAAAGACCACAACATATTAAAACTCAAAAAAAAATCAAAACTTCAATTTGAATTCGAAATCAATGAAGTGTAATGATTGAATTATTAGTGAAGAATATGCATAACTGAAGTATAGTGCTCTAATAAGAATAAGGAAAAATGAATTTTTAGTGAATATTTGACTGATCATAGCGTTATTAATATTTCAAAATCACTTATGAAAAATCAGCTACATTTATACAAAGTTTCCAAAATGGATTGAATCTTCTGCATTAAATTATAGTGTATTTGAAAAAGCAAAACTAACGATTTAACCAATTACGTCTCTTTGTTGTCTTCCTCTTTCCATTCACTAGCATAAAAAAAAAGTGTTGTTAGTGATTGTTGTGTAATAAATCGAATTTCGAAATAAAGTGATGTAATATATTTAATGGCTGCCGATTATTTTAAAAAAATCTACGCGTCAAATATGAAATTTCAATGAACTGTAAGGAAATTTAGGAAGGACTATCATTGTCTCTAGGCATAATTATCTTTGTTGTGGAATGTATATTTTTTTCTTTATACTTTGTATCATTTAATCGTGACAGAGTGATGTGTGAATCGTCTCTTAATTACATAATGTTTATCTTTTTTTTTCGTTCTTCGTTTTCAACTACGGAGTAGGATTGTCTGTACAATTATATTTAAGTGAGAATAATATTCGACAACCGTTAGTTCTTTGTTTTTACATGTGATTTTTTTACAAAAATGTCATTTCATAATTTATTAGGTTTTTTTCTCGTCATAATTTGTAATTAGTCATAATAGGCATTAACTATTCTTACTACTGTCATGGATGATTGTAGAAATCATTAATAATAAGTAGTGACTTGATACAATAAAAATTTGATTTATATTAATGCAGAAATATTTTAGTCATACAAACATTACAGTAAGATCCTGTATTCTCGTCGAATGTGTTTAAGTTATTGAAAATACTTTCAAATATATTGCTTTATCATTCAGTTTCGATTTTCAATTCTAAGAACGTTTTCATTGGTTTAAAGACGAAATATTTCTGTATTAATTTATGTCAATGATACGCTCTGTTAGATCTTAGCTATAAGTCATTATAGTCGTACGAACAATCAAAATATTTTATCACATGTTGTATCGTACTACGTACGTATTTATATATATATTTATTCTATAGAATTCAATGTCACTTAATTTTTCATGCACTCTATAAACATTCAATTGATATTAGTTGAAAAGTCGAATTGTACGCCTAGCTTGAAGTAAAGTTGTTTTTGTGGAACTCACATATTTTCGAAAAAAATGGTTAGTGTAAGTTTACGAGCGAGATATTGCGACTTCCTCCATCCTTTTTCATTACAGACGTTGGTAACTAGTGTTATATTGTAACTTATGAGAAATATGTCAGTTCTACATTTCAGCTCCAAACAAGCTTCGCTAACAACGCTTTCTTTTTTCTTTTGAGTCTTTTCTTGAATTTTCTCTATAGATACTAATGAATGAATAAAAGATAATCGAGAAAAAAAACATTTCATATCTTCGAAGCAACTATGAAATTCGGATACGAAAATTTCATTAGGAGTGTTTTCCGTGATTTAAAAAACCAAAAGAAATCATGACGTCAGTGAATTTTATGTCAAAAACATGAAACAAATAGTATTTTTGGCGATGAAACGAACTTCTTTTTTGATGTTTTTTCATAGCATGACTTTGGTTTCTAATCAAATATATTGCATGATTTTGATTAAAATGCTAATTTCAATCGATGAATTTCAAAAAGCATCAAAGAATATGTCTATTTCATCATCGAAAATACTATTTTTTTTTAATATTTTTGACATCAAATTCACGAAAGTTATGATTTTTTTAATTTTTTTTAACTCACTGTGTTAAGACTACTGTTTGGAATTACAAAAAATGTAGATCTGATAGACTCTCCTACTTATGCTATCTGCACTGTTTGGTTAACACCCTAGATTTCTGCATTTGTAAAAATTTTGACAAATAAAAAATTCTGCGTCTTTTCTTCTTGGCTTCAAAGATAATGCTTCATACACTTCAACGACAACTAAAAATATTTCTACTAATCACATGCTACTGTTTACATTTCATAAGTGAGTTAACGAATTTCTTCGAAAACGAAAATATGATGAATATGAGTCACCTTTTCAAACCGATAATCATTCTACTGGTAACCTGGTTTTGATCGGTATTGGGCTGATATCAGTACGACTTACAGTGAACTAGGTTTTTCGAAATTCTCATTTTGACTTTTTTTCCATCAGAGTAAGAGTTTTTTTTTGTAAACAAATGAATTTTTTAAAATTTGGTTTGAAAAAAAATAATCCTTTTTTTACTAGAAAAAGCAGTTTTTTTCGCAACACATTAAACATCGAACTTCGAGAAATCAATGAAAGATTCGGATTTCTCCAGACTAATGCTTTTGGCCGAATTTGTTAAAAAATATACACATTTTCGTAAAAGAAGCCTTTTTCTGGCCAACAAAAAAATCAAGCTCAAAACTTGGAAAAATCAACTACACTTTAAGCCGCCATGGATTGATATCAACTAATATAAACCAGTGGTAGCCTGATACCGGTTACTGATAAGTCTAGTCCCAGTGAGGACCATCTATCATCACCGTTGCATGTCTAGCTATAATATCTGATCTTATTGTTCATATATGTTTGTATAGATGTGGAATGATTATAGTTAAGATGGAAACCAGAAGAGTTTGGTAATATTCAAACATTACGAATACCAAACACACAAATTTGAACATCAGACATTTTCCTATACAACACGTTATTATTTTGCAAAGAATATATTTCTTGAAAAATGATGTTTTTCTTTTTTAAGTGCCGATGAAAAGTTTGATACTAGAGTGAGAATCAATGACGTTGTACAACATAATGATGATATACTATATGTTCTATCAGTATTATTCAAATCAAATTGTCCATTTAATATTGCTGCATTTCCATTTGTAAGTATCAAAAAAATATGTCACTCATATCGTACTTTTATCTTGAATATTTGTGTTTTTTTTTGAATACACAACATTGTACGCTGAAATTTGGAACTTGGACATATGATGATGTTGGTATATGATTGAAACATTTTGTTTCTAGGACGAAATACCAAATGTTTCTGCATATTATATGCCTTTTCAATACTTAGGTATCAATCTGACAGCAGAAAGTAACAAAGGTCAATTGAATGCATACGTCAAAAGTGCCGAATGGGAGATCTAGAAGGTAGTCAATATAGATTATGTGCATTTTATTCTATTCATTCTCTTTCAGATTTCTCTGCAACGAACAATCGTACCAAATACCACTGTTGTCCGAATGTGTATCCATATGTACTATACGCTACTCGAATACGTCGACGTTCTCTTTATTATATTATAAATACCGTTGGTAATAAAATACAAATTACAATATTGTTTTCTAATCTTTGAATTGATATTATTGTTATTTCATTTCATAGTACCTTGTTTTCTTATTAGTTATATGATACTACTCGGATTTTTATTACTACCAGATAGTGGTGATAAAATAACCTTGAGTAAGTTAGAATTTGATAATAGAAAAAAAAGTTGTTTTTATATATTCTAAATCTTCAGAAATTACAACTCTTCTAAATGTTGTTATGTTCAGTTTACTTCTATCGGAAATTAAGCCACCAAGTTCAAATGCTAGACCAATTAATACCGTATATTTCATGTGTGTTATGATTATGTCAGTGGTATCAGTTATTGCATCAATATTAGTATTATCACTTCATTTTCGAAACTCTAAAAGTTATACAATGCCATTATGGGTAAATCATATTTCAAAATGAATAAATCATGTGATTCTAGAAATCATTTCAGGTTCGTAAGTATATTTGTAATTATTTGGCATGGCTATTACGTAAAAAGCGTCCTAATCATGATTTTAGTTGGCGCGCCATTCGTCGTCGATGTACTTCTACAAAACAACAATTGAATAATCATAGATGAATCGATTGATGATCATCATTCTAAGATTCCTTCGGAACCATTGTTGGATAATGCGATCGAGTTATTATTGACCAACGTTCTGAATATTGATAGAGAACATTTTGAGTTCCAAGAAAATCGAGAAAAACATCGCCCATATTCGCTATTACATTATGCTGTACCTCCAACAATGAACACACACCATCCACGTCATCATCAGAATACATTGAAAGAATTGAATACATATGATATGGAAATTATTTGTTCTGGGCTACGTGTTATTATTTCACAGCTTGCTATTCTTACTAGTTATTTTCAAAAACAAGAGAAAGAAGATGATGATTCTCAAGAATGGAAATTTGTGGCAAGGGTCTTTGATCGTCCGTGTCTAGTGGTTTTTGCTGTATTCATGATTCTTTTTACTACACTTACTTTTCTCAATATGAAACTTTTTTTTTTAACTTCAATTTATTCTTTTCTATTTATTACAGAACCACCCTTTATCTTAGTCTTTCCTTGTACCTTAAATATATATAAACTCTATAGAGAAAATATTTGCAAATATATGCAAACTGTTCGACGAATGAAATCTGACCGTACTACGTACAAGATGAATCTGAATAGCTTAGACTGAATTAATGATATCATATCTGCTAGTATAGATTTTTTCTTTAGTTTTCTTTCAACTGTATTGATTACTGTTGTTAAATTGAGGACATATTTGATTGTCTTTGGATATCAGAAAAGACAAATATAAAAAAAACTATGTTTCCGATTTCACTGACATAGAATACTGCAAAACAAATTATTTATTTGATACCTTGATTCAGTTTTAAAAAGGAGTGAGTTTCATCAACATTTAATCACTCTGAAAAACCAAAGTTGAAAGGCTTTTTATATTCCTTGCTTATAAATATCTCAGTTATTCCTTATGGATCATTTTAAGCAACAATAATTATAGGTTCACATTATCAAACCAAAAACTTTTGATTTTATTTTTCTTTGTCAATATAAATAAAAAGTGTAATGTTAAATTTTTCGTTTTTTTGACCATCGTCAGAACTTGATGTATATACTAAATAATCTAAATATATATAATTCACAATCGTAATCATAATCGATTTTGTTGATAAAACTTGATTTAAAACTTTACTCAAAATGATGATATTATTAGTGATCGTGGTCGTGGCTCAAGTTATATCAACAACATCCTTTATAGTTGTGATTGTGAATTATACATATCTACAATATTCATTATATACATCAAGTTCTGACGACGGTCAAAAAGACCAAAAACTTAACATTACAAAAAAGTTTTTCATTATTACTGAAAAAGAAAAAATAATAATAAAGTTTTTGATTTGAAAATTTGAACCTATAGATATTGTCGCTCAAAACGATCCATAAATTGTCATTACAAAATCCATGTTTATTCGTATTCAGGTGTGAGTTTGCATCTTGTTTTCACCCACACCCACACCCACACCCACACCCACACCCAGCCACAGCCATACCTACATCCAACACGGTTAGAATTGTAGTAAGCACGGGCAGCCATTAAAGGTGTGGGATTTATTGGTCTTTTTTTGTTCTAATTTCTCTATAAATTATTTCTTTGTCGAACCAAAAATATTCTTGTCATAGATATCTTCAAGTCTCCTATTATTTTCTATTATGTTCTGTTTTTCTGCGTTCATATGCATTTTTCTTTAGTGTCATTATAAAAAAAGCCAACTGACGCACAAAGAAAATTTCAATAATAATATCTTTTTCACATAAATTTAAGAGCAACATCAGCTTGTAGATTCATTGTTAAACAAAACTGCTCTGGACGCCCCGATCTTCTGTATCGTGTTGATCGTATATTGTAAGTTCGAATAATCATTCTATATCTGAATACTAACTGTTTGTTTCTTTATAGTTATGGTTGCTTTAACAATGGATATCTCAACATACTACGAGTTGATATTTGTTCTTGTTATTACTTGCTTTTCAATCCAGATCAAGTCATCCATAGGATGTGGTTATGATGTAAGACAGTTCGCAAAGACATTTTTGAGTTCCATAAAATATGACCTTTGTTTCAGACATGCAATTTAGGTGATCCGAATAAGCTCAATGTTCACATCGTTGCACATACACATGATGATGTTGGATGGCTGAAAACAATCGATCAATATTACTATGGATGTATGTAAATATATTTCGAATTATTTTGTTATATTGTGTAGATCTTAAACTACATGATAAATTATAATATATTCTTTAATAACAAGATTATCCATAAAATGTATAAACATTATTTTTTATCTTTCTCGAAAATTTTTGTCTAATGTTTACGAGTCTTAAGTTAAGAAACGAATAAATTGTATATTGTATTGAAGTTATAGCATCAAAACAAAAACTGACAAGGTCAATAAAAAGTAACAAAAAGGGCTTAAACTTCCTTACTATTTGATAAATACCAAAAATTTGTTTGAACTGACATCATTGAATAACAGTAAAAGTAATTAAAACTACATGTTATTGATAAGTTTGATAGCACAAAAAAATTTTAACCTTTTATTTAGCGACTAGTTCATGAAGAATATGTATATTTTTTTTTCTATTAAGCTCACAATTATATTCACCATGCTGGAGTAAAATATAAACTTGATTCGGTTATGCATGCACTCGACGAAAATCCTGATCGACGTTTCATTTATGTTGAAATAGGCTTTTTCCGGCGTTGGTGGAATCATCAAACTAAAGATATGCAAAACAAAGTGAAAAAGTTTGTTAATGAAGGTAAAGTTATTTCAAATTATATTCTTTTACAAAATAAAATATTTTATTCGAAGGTCGTCTTGAATTTATTTCTGGTGGTTGGTGTATGAATGATGAAGCATCAACTCATTACAGTTCTATTATTGATCAACATAGCTTAGGTGCTGAATTTTTACATGAACAATTTGGTGAATGTGGTCGACCAAAAATCGGTTGGCAAATCGATCCATTTGGTCATTCACGTGAACAAGCTTCAATTTTTGCACTAGTGAATTTCGTACAAGTATTTAAGTATTTTCATAGAAAAGCTTGATTTTAGATGGGTTTTGATGGTTTGTTTCTTGGTCGTATTGATCATGAAGATTATACGACACGTTTTAGAACAAAAACTATGGAAATGGTTTGGAAAGCAAGTTCTAACTTGGGTGAGTGAAAAATAAATGATTGTAGTTTGAATCTAAATTGAACTAAATGATAAATTAAAAATCTATCGATATTTCAGATCGTCAAAGTTGGTTATTTACTGGTGTTTTACCTAATCGATATGTTCCACCAGACTCGTTCTGTTTTGATCAAAGATGTTCAAATGATCCTATCATGGTCAGTAGCAGTATTCGTTGATTTGTTCTTAATCTTGACCACTTGTTTCTTTTTTTTGCTAACGTGTAGCAGAAAAAACTTCAAAATGTCTTAAACAAGTGTGTAATTAAGAATGACATAATCGCATATAGTTAATTTTGCTAGGTGGTTGTCCATTAACTAGGGGCAACAAGGTATCTAGGAATAATTTTATCAAGACCATATTTTCGGGCCAACAAAAAGGAGCACTAGATTACGCGATCGATTTCAATCGATATTTAGAATAAGAATAATTTTTATATTTATTGCTTTTTTTTCTCTGAAGATCTCCACTGTATGAAGTATGTATTGTTTTCATGTTATTATCATAAACTATTGTATACAAGTTTTTCACAAGTCAATTGTCTTTGAAGTGTTGTTTGTGAAAGAGAAAAGTTGTATTAATCTGTACTATTTATTATAGGATGATCCTCATTTCCACGATTACAACGTCCATGAGCGTGTTCAAACATTCATTCAAGCTGCTTATGATGAGGTTCGTATGTAATAATAAATAGTAAAAAGATAAAATGGAATGTGTCAATGTAATAAACTCATATGTATAAACAAACTGTTAATTTTTGAGCGACAGAAAAGACGCTTACCTATGTCTGACAGAGAACCTTATTCAATATAGCAGGGTCGAATATTTATGAGGTGAGTGAAATATTCAAAAATTTTTAATATTCATGAAAATAACAATGCAATATGAATAGCTTTGTGAAATCTTAATATTTCGTTTTAATCACATTTGAATTCAAAATATATCATAATTTATACATCTTTTGAAATGATTGATGCCTTGAACAAAGAACAACATGATTTTATTGTTAAAAAACGAAAGATAACGATGAATATCTAAAATGAACTGTATAAAAAGTCTAGAAAATAAAGTATTTTGCTGTTTAATGATTTAAAAATACTTTAATTAGGAACACATAATGACAATCATCTTTTCTTCTATAGGCACAAGGTTATGCTACTAATCATATAATTATGACTTTTGGTGGCGATTTTCATTATGAAATTGCACATGAAGCTTTTAAAAATATAGACAAATTGATTGAATATGTTAATGCTGAGGTATATATATTTGTTTAAGCTTTCTTCCAAACAAATTATGCTATTGTTTTCTATAAATATAAACTTAGCAAGTTAATGGTAGCATTATTAACGTTTTCTATTCAACACCATCATGTTATTTATATGCTTTGAATAAAGTTGATCGTGCTTGGACTACGAAAACTGATGACTTTTTTCCGTATGCTCGTTATTCTAATGGATATTGGACAGGTTATTTTACTTCACGAGCAACTTTGAAACGATATGAACGCCATTCAAATAATATTTTACAAGCTACACGACAACTCAATGCATTTGCTAATCTAAATGAACGAAATAATCTATTTGTTTTAAGTAAAGTATATTTCATTTTTAAATTTATACTAAAATAATTTGAACGTTATGAAATAAAGGTGACGCAATGGGTATCATTCAACATCATGACGCTATTACTGGTACAGAAACAGAAGAGGTTGCTTTTGATTATGCTCAACGATTGTCCAATGGCATTGGTGTAGCCGAAGTATGTTGAAATAATTGGTTTTGTTGAATTTATTTACATTTTCGAAAAAAATAGTGAATATTAAGTTAAATTTTTCATAACAATGGGAAACGAAGCGTCAGTTATAATAGTAACTAGATCTTCAAAATTAGTCTAAGAATTTCAAATTTATACTGTGAATTCTTACTGGTCTAAATATTTCGGATTCTTGCATTTAACACTACGAAATTTGATCAGTGAATTCACGATATGAAGAATAAAATTACATATGTCAATTAGTAAAGCATCTATTATATATATATGTTATATTAAGATGAAAAGAAGTTATGTTATGAAGATGCATCTGACAATACAACTAAATATTTTTGGTATAGTGATATTAAATAATATCTAATTAATTCATCGAATAATAGTTCTGAATGCAAATATTTTCGAAATGACAAAGTTTCCAAGTACATGTGTCAGATATGAAAAGTGTATTATTCTTGATTTATTCATTTATGCGGTATTTTGTCTAAATAAATTAGCTTGACTTCTCTAACAGTGTACTATATACTCATGATAACCAATATAATAAAACATTGAAGGAGTATAATATGTTCGAGTGAGCGAATTTATTTCTAAAAAATATTAGTGTACGCATTAACTTAAGGATTTTTGACTAGATAAATAGAAATAACATATCATTGTCTTTATTCTGCAATCAAAATATAATGAATGTTGTTTAGTGAAAAAATATAAAACATGTTGTACCGAAACAAATTTTCTATTTCTTGAGTTTCGAACGTCTTTTTTCTTGTATAAATTGTAATATGCTTCAATATGTATTTACCTATTACTTTAAAGAAAAAAAATTTTTATCTCTATTTAGAATGTCATCAATAAAGCTTATTCTAAACTTTTACCTAAAGATGGTCGGTCTCCACCAGCATCAAATCAATTTCTTTGTCAATTATCAAACATCAGCCAATGTTTAGAAATCGATGGACAAGAACGCGTAAAGATATCATTATCTTATTTGTTTTTATTTTTTGTTTCTTGGAATAGTTTACGTTGACACTTTGGAATCCAACCATTCATCCAGTTGTTCAACATGCTCGTGTACCTGTTAAAACAGATTATACTATTCGTGACCCAACAGGACAAACAGTTTTATCTGAGGTAATTGAAAAGAAAATATAATTTGTTGACAATTTTTATTGTTTCAGCTAATCCCTGTTTCACAAGCAATACAGAACATTCCAGGTCGAACAAGTATTACCCAAAAACAAATTATTTTCAAAGCTAGTTTACCAGCTCTTGGTTTTAGCACATACTATTTCGAAAAGAAACGTGAGACGCTTTATTTTTACTATTCTTTCAATTTTCTTAGAAACAAAATTTTTTTTTTTTTTAAACAGATGGAGAGGAGCAAAAACAGTCTAAAATAAACATTACATATAATGAAGCATGCGTTTTACAAAATCAAGTAAGATAAGAAATCAAATACAGGATGGCTCAAAAGTCGCTTTATCGAAAAAGAATTGAATATCTCCATTACGACTCGAGCAAATGAGCTGATTTTTTTATGAATGATAGAGGCCTATTCAAGCTTTATGTCCACAAAAACATTTACTTTGTTACATATATGGAAAAACAATGTTCTCTGAAGGACCAGTTTATCAAGAGATGCTATGTAAATAATCAAATGAACATCAGACTGTCACTCACCTTTCATTTATACATCTTTTCTCGTTTCTTTCTACGATAGCCTACATGGATAGTATGAGTGATGCTTCTAATCATATTTATGTAACATATGTTTATCTCTTTGTTGTGCTTTCTTGATCATTCTTGTCCATATTGGTTCTTCATTTTTTATCATATTCTCAGAGCGTAACTCTAGTTGAGGGTTCATGTGTTTGCTGATGCAAAGGTAGGATAGAAAAAAAAGAACAGACACAACAAGGTAGATCCAAAGAGTACAAAAAAGAGATAAACAGATGTTACACAAATATGATCAGAAGCATCATTCAGACTATCCATGTGGGTTATCGTAGAAAGAAACGAGAAAAGATGTATAAATAAAAGGTGCGTGACAGTCAGATGTTCATTTGATTATTTACATTGCATCTCTTGATAAATTGATCTGTCAGAGTACATTGTTTTTTTCCTATCTGTAACAGAGAAAATGTCTTTGTGGACATAAAGCTTGAATACGCCTCTGTCATTGATGAAAAAAACAGCTCATTTGCTCGAGTCGTAATGGAGATATTCAATTCTTTTTCTGTAAACTGACTTTTGCGCTACCATGTACTTTTCAGTTATTTGTTGTATTGCTCTTAGAATATTCAAGTAGAATTCGATGATCAAGGCAACCTACATCAAATCTTTAATTTAAATAAAAATATTAGTGTATCATTTATCAATCAAGGTTTCTATTGGTATCCAGGTATATCGACAAAATAGTTTGATGAGTCTATTTTTATTGAGTTTTGTAACGATTCAGGTTTTCCTGGTAATAATTCACAATCAAAATCTCAAGCATCAGGTGCTTATATATTCAGACCATTAACACCAAATGCATTACCAGTTAGTCAAACACGTTCAATGTACGAGTGTTTTCTATTATGTAGATATTTTTCATTTTCATCTTTCTCGTTACTTTAGAACATGTATAAAAACAGAAAATGTTCAAACAGCGATTATTGAATTTAATAATTGGGCAAGTCAAGAACTAAGTTTATATGATGGAGGAGAATTTGTTGAAGTTGAATGGACAGTCGGACCAATACCAATAGATGATGATATTGGTAAAGAAATTATCATTCGTTATGATACTGATATTGCAAGTGAATCAAAATATTATACGGATGCAAATGGACGTGAAGTTCTTGAAAGAAAACGAGATTATCGACCAACATGGAATTACACAGTTACTGAAACAGTGAGTGGAAATTATTATCCAATAAATACTCGAGTATGGATTAAAGAAAAAGATAGACAATTCACTGTTCTAACGGGTAAGAATGAACAAAAAACGAAAACAATTTCTTCAGATTATAAGAATGTCGACACGAGAAAATAGTGACCCGATTCACAGTTCCAGTGACTTTTCTGTCTCCAGTTAAATTGACCTCATTAACCCTAATGGAAATTCTTATATCTTTGATTAGTTGTTACATTTTATAGTACTGAACAGGACAAGATAGTGTTCAGGATGTGAGTCTCTCCTTATCAAATCCAGCAACCACACACCATTCACCTACACTCTAGCACTACTTAATTAAGAAGTTTGAAAGAAATTATTGAAGTCAACTATAGTACAGCTTGAAAATCCTAGTCTCCTGAAGACTCGAGTAATTTACCATATAGTCCAAACTGAAAACAATATTGTTTCGTTTTCTATGAAAAAATTTATAGGAATCTTAAAATAAAAATATAATTCTATCTATTAGTCTTTTATTCGTACAGATCGATCAGAAGGTGGTAGTAGTATCCAAGATGGCTCTATTGAGATCATGGTGCATCGACGTCTTCTCTACGATGATCAATTTGGTGTGGGCGAACCATTGAATGAAACGGCATATGGTGAAGGTCTTGTTGTTCGTGGTCGACATCTTCTTATTGTTGAACCACCTGCTTCAAGTGCACGATATCATCGTGTAGGCTCTCAACGTTTATACATGCATCCAATTGCTACTTTTTCATTAATTGAACAAGATTATGATATTTATTCAGCTGCTTATCATCAAACATGGTCAGCATTAAATGATACGTTACCATTAAATGTTCATTTATTAACACTAGATCAATTGGGACCAAAAGATTATCTTGTCCGTGTTGAACATTATTTTGAATCATTTGAAGATGATACATACTCACAACGAGTTACATTTGATTTACAATCATTGTTTAAATCGATTGGAACAATTAGTAATACAGTTGAATTAACACTTGGTGCTAATTTACCATTAGCTGATATGAAACGACTTAATTGGTCGACCAGTGATAATAAATCATCTCATAGAACGGTTCTAAGTATGTTTTTTTTTTAGATAAGAAATTGTTTATTCGATTAAATATTTATTTTTAGCGAAGAATTCGTTATCAAATACAAATATTATGCTTATTCCGATGCAAATTCGAACATTTCAAGTGACAGTGGTATAGAAAATTGCTGTAAAATAATGATATATTATGATTTAATCATATTCATCTTGTTTTCATATATATCAGGCATCCATACTTTCAGTTTTGATTTTTTTTTTATTGGGTTCATTTTTACTCATAATCTACAAAGAAAATAAATTTATGCGAATTGGCTTGATTCTGATCGTATTCGAAAATATTTCATGATTCTACCAATTTTTGTAGCTCTAGAGAAGTTCACTCTATATTCCAAGGCATAATGACGTAAGCAAAAACAATTAGACAGGGAATAAAGAAGAAATTAATGGTCAGAAATATTGTAATATTTTAAGTACGGATTTGCAGTTCATTATGTTTGAAATTCTTTTTCGAATATTCTTCATGTATAAAAGAATACATTTGAGCTTTTGATAAGTACATAACCATTACCATTACTTATTACCATCTTTGTCTATTTGCATTACATGCTTCCATATAAAAAAAAGTATTTAATCTGTAAACTACGATTGTGTTTTTCTACTGTCTTATGTATAAACTTCACGAAAGCCGTTATTTCCCTGCCCTCACGCAAGAATCACGAGTTTTGTCAAAAAAACCTGATTTTTGAGATTTTTATGTCATTCAATAGTTGTTGTTCGCTATTTTCGAAAACAGTAAGATTTATCGAAGTTTTGCTTGACTACACAGTTTTACTAATAATTAACTGATGATGTTGGAATTAGAAAAAATGAGTTGGCAAACTTTGTTTTACGTTTTTTTCGAAATGGATTTTTCTGTTTTTTACTGACGAGATACTGTTGTTGTTGATGTGAGTGTGAACGTGGGGTGTTGATGTAGACGCTGGTGTGAGTCTAGGGTATGAATGAGAATCTTTTATTCTCTCACACCCTTATTTCAGCCTTTTGACGTAATAGATAAAGGATCACTAAAATAATGTCTTCCGACTTGAGTTCAATATATAATTATACACTGGCATGAAACAAAAAAGTGAATGAACATCTTTTTAAGTCGTTGAACATAGTTCAGTGCAAAATAGAAGTGTGGTTGTGTTCACACCTCACCGATGAGACTTCTATGATTTCTATGAAACTTGACCGAGTTCGTAAGGAAAAAATTTAACATCACTATGTTTTAAGACGATATAGCTCTGAAATATATTTACGATTCTCATCTGTAATAATTACAGACCTTAAACGGGTTTTTAGTCAAAAGCGGACGTCCCCTTATAGAGAGAGGTCATTAAGAATTAGACAAGATGGAGAGATGAGTTGAAAATAGCCAAATATTGGGTGTCTCAAAATGTTTGCACACTTTATTATTTTGCACATGTCTCAGCATGAATAAATGATAAAAAGCTTGATTTTTTTTCAAAAGATGCACCGTGAAAAGCTCTACAAAAAATGCCGAAACAAATCTCTACTAACATGTTTTCATAATTTTTCCTATAGTCAAAATGAAATACCTATATATCAGTGCTATTTCCCACCGTATTTAAAATAATAAAAATGTATGGAAGACGTCTTTTTATTTTGCATGTATCTCGACTTGAGAAAATGGTAGCACCTTGATTTTTGTTTTTCAAAAGATGCGGCGTCGAAAGCTCTACAGAAGCTGTATGAGCAAATTCCTATTGTAAAATAAAAACGATCTTTCAAACGCTTTTATTATTTTAAATACGGTGGAGATTAGAACTGATATGTAGGTCTTTCATTTTGACTATAGGAAAAATCATGAGAACATGTTAGTAGGGATTTGCTTCAGCATTTTTTGTAGAGGTTGTCACGGCGCATCTTTTGACAAAAGAATCAAGCTTTTTATCATTTATTCATGCTGAGATATGCGCAAAATAAAAAGTGTGCAAACATTTTGGGACACCCCGTAATTATGGACATCCTCTATGAATCACCGCAAAGATCATTTTCATTTGTAATCATCGCTGATATATTTCGCTCGTAATGAGATATTTCTAATATTTTATAATCGGATTCAAAAAGAATACCAGAATCAAACGAACCACTATCATACTGATTATCTTCATTGATGGATGTTATACTCTTCATTTTAGATTCGGCTCGATAGACTTGAAAGGATTTACCTTTGATACCGGAATCATCATTATTCTGGTATTCGATAATAGTATCACTAGATGGAGTCATGATAATCGATGCTACGAGTATGGCTTTGGATTGGACAACATTTTTTCCGTACTCACTTACATTTTCATTGTATCTTTCTACTGAACAGTAGGAGAATCTTTCGACAAAATACTGCTTCAGAATACTTATATTGAATTAATACCTATGTGTTCAAAATCAGCCCAATTACAATTATGAGTCACTTGAAGTCTCAATCAGATGATCATAAGCATGCTACGCGGGAAATTTATGAGAGATTCTGATCAATCATGTAAAAACACGGAGCTTTTTACGTTTAATTTTTATTAATCATTTCTTCTCTATGATTTCTTCACTCATTACCTTTTGCCTACGTAGCATTGAAACTGCCAGTCAAATATTAGTCATAAGTTGATAGAACTGTTTTTCTTTGCCGAAGATTCTAAAAGCATCCGAACATGATTCATTTTTTCTAAGTTTCAAAGTGACAGACTTTTCAAACATGATGAAAGGAATGAATTCAAATCGTGTGTAGGATAAAAATAAAGATGAAAATGAAAATTCTTTGAATCAACAGTGTGGATCAGTATTATAGTAAACTCGATATAGAACATAACGTTAGATTTATCATTTCATTTCTTCATGTTCTTTCTTTTGCTGACTTAGCAGAAATGCTTGAAGAATTTCCATCAGATATTGCTTGAATATATAAAAAAGGAACAAATTACAGAAAATAAAGTAATTTTTTTCAATCGTCAATAATATGATGATTATCCTGTTGCCGGCTGAGACTGTTGTTAAACCACCGGCACCTGCATTTGTACCTAATCCAGCGATTGGACCGAATCGTTCAGCATCTCCACCCGCATGCACCTGAAAAACGTTTTCCATGCGAGGAGCATCAGTTGATGTCATTGTTGATTCCACTAATCCTTTGACTTCTTCTCGAGGTTTAGCCTATTGTTCCACTCTTGCTACTGTTCTTCGACATCGGATGGGGTAATTTTTCTCAAATGAGTCAAATGAACTTATTCACCCTTATTTTGTTGTTCTGAAAAAAAAATGATGTAATCGTCTGAGTGACATCATTCTCCAACTAGCTACTATGATGGCATCTCTCTCTGTAAATATTGGTGAATCATTAGACTATTCATGAGCGCCATCTTCAATATTTTTATTCATTTGAGTGAGTTGCACGTGTCACCATACCAATGTTTCATGTCAATGTCGAAATCAAGATTGATAGATTGCAGACTAGATTCTGGTTTTCCATTCAAACAAGTCATTCTACCTAATAAATTTCCGAGATTTGTTTCTGAGTCGATTAGTTTGCAGTTGTTGTAGTAGTTATCTGTCGAAACTGGAGTACAACTACGCGATTAAGGTTAATATAACCAAATGTTTAGTAAATATTTTGAATAGGGTTTATTTATTCTGATTTTTTAGCTTCAATATACAATAGAGCTGCTATTCTGTCACCAATGATCGGATGAAAAATTGATTATGCACTCGCAGATGATGCTCAGTAACGACATGAGATATTTCAATTACTCATATTGTATGACGAAACTTTTTATAAAGACGTTTTAGCGTCCTTGTCGTCGCAACCCTATTCGACATCAACAGGAACATTGACTCCGGATAACTGTCTAAGAGTCGCAGTTTTCTCTACCAACGGACCAATACGATGACTGACAAAGTATAGTTCATTTGAATTTTACATTTTAATAATCTTTTTTTTGTCCTCCGTTTCGTACGTTCAACTTGAAAAGAGCATTCTTTATGTCAAAATGGAACTTTCTACTGCACAATGTGGTTGTTAGTTAGCCCGAATGTTTATGAATTATCATTTAGCAGATGTGTTAAACTGTTGATAATAAACTTCCGGTTCATTTACAGCCACTGTTTAGTTGTGATAAATAGTTTTCTTATTATTCCGGAATTGTTTTTAGTGCTTTCAAAACATCTAGTAAACTAAATACTCTTTATAAACTTTTGTCAGCATTATTAGTAGTATATTCCACTTGAAGTTTTGCGAAAGTGAATGTGAATGTGGGTGTCGGTAGTGGTATATGGGTATGTGCGTATGGTTGTTGTGCGCGTAAGGATGTGGATATGGGTGAAGGTAACACCCATCCTTGTAATATGAAACTGTATTGAATAATAACTGAATTTGATGTGGTTAAGATAGCGAAACAAAAATAAAACTAAGATCAATATGCCTCTATAGCTCAGTGGTAGAGCGCCAGTCTTGTAAACTGGAGGTCCGTAGTTCGATCCTGCGTGAAGGCATCTAATTTTTATATCAATTTTTTTCAGCATCAAAGGCACTTGTCGTGGAGAATATTAGATTCTAATGAAAGACTAAAATGATAATTTATTTCACTGATATGAGACTTAATATAAGTATTGTTCAATTTTTGATCTAGTAGACTTGAAAAAAGCAACAGCCTTCTCGAATACTTCAAGATTACGCTAATCTATTACAATCGCGAATTTGCTCTAAAATTTATATCAGGCAGAATTTCCCAGTTGAATGATTAAGATTCCTTTTCATCTTTAGTTCTACACATTTGAAAAAGTGTTGCATCAACGACTTAGTTCACTTGCTAACGCTTGAACTTGATAGTGAAGACGCCATATCAGAGTTTAGTTGTGGGTGTGGCTGCAATGCGACATTGAGCGTGGCTACCGTTATTTGTTCAACTTATTTCTTTCCTCATAGTTACATTTAAACATCATTCACATTCAAACTCGAAAAAACAATTAAATCATATATATAATTAATCGAAGAACAGCAAAATAAACTAATATCGCCATTTTTCTCATGAAAAGAATGTAGGTGTGGATATCGGCCGTGAGGCGACTCACCTATGCATGCCTCAACCTACATCCTCAAGTCTCGAAACTTTGAAATCTCACCAGAGCGTTGAAGATAGTTTCCAGCTTTTCAAAAGTGTGGATGTGGAGTATAGGTGGGTTAAGAGCAGCAACACCAACAATCACACTCGTACCTACCATCCCACACCCACACTCTCAAGATGAAATTTCGTAACAAGTATATTTTTAGTTTTTCTGTTCGATACAGTTTTGTTTGTTAAAAAATGAGCCAATACTCTGAAAGCGTATGAACAACTCACCAATTTTGATGTAAGACATTTATTTGCAAATCATTTTGTCTCATAGAAAAATGTTAAACTATTAGGTCACCCTCGAATAAATTTTCACTTTTGTAATTCCGTAACAACCTTTACTTTAAGAATAACTCAGTCCCAGGCGAAAGAAAACAACAAAGGAAATTTTCAATGTAAAAGAAAGTGAAACTCCGTAACTCTTGAGCACGCTGATATGATTATCGTACTTTTTTTTAAATTTCATGTGTTGATGCCATAAGTATGTGAAAACTCATCGTGTACAAGTTTGCCGTGTAATCAAGAGCTTCGCATAGATGCAGTAATAGCAGTGATTAAGAAACTCAAAAAAATTGCAGTTGACATTAATTTTGCTTACGATAATCATGACAAAGACACATAAAATGATGATACCAATCCGTTTTAGAACCCTTTTATATAATAAGCAGTTTCATATAATTATTTTACATTAAAATAATTTCTCTCACCTTTTTTTATCTGGAATTTCAATAAAATTGTCTTTTATTAATGAAAAATATAAATCATTTTCAATAAAAAAAAACCATCGAAATTTCTGAAATCAGTAATATTAGTTGCTTGATTTCCAACATTAGATAAACGGTTCAAGTTTCGGGTATTTTTGGAATCGTCAGGTTCTACAAGAATGTGCATGTGGATGGAAAGAAGACCCAGAACAACACCCATAACGATACCTATTTCCATATCCACAACCAGGTCTACACCTTCTTTCGCACACGTTCACATCCACTCCCTCCTTTTCCGCTTTGTATAACTGCTTTCAATTTCAGATCGAATTCGCTCCTACACACAAATGAAGGTAACTATAAGCAAATAGAAACAGATTGTGTGATTGCCATATAAATGAAAACGAAGAATACGTATCTCATCATAGTTCTTATCATCATTATTGACACAAGTTGAGTTTCGCGCGATAAGATCGCATACTGCAAGGTGACTCGCACTACTTCTGATATACCGCAGTAGAATGGCGACCAGAGGATAGTCAACCATTAAATTATCAAATTACTGCCGGTATATCGGTGAATTTTTGTCCTGTTTGAATCACATGGGATTGTAGCTTTCTAAAACATACAATTATATTGCTTGATAAAAATCATGAATGAATTCAATAAGGAATTTCGTGAAGTATGTTGAATTTGATGCTTTTTTTTAGACCTCCTATGAAACTTACTATTAGTATTGAAATGGAAGAAGGAAAAATTTTTGGTGGAGTTTATGAAGTTATTATTGGAACTACTGATCCTGAGTCATTAATTAAATATTGGCAACGATTTGGATATCACGTCGGAGACAAGGGGGAACTATCAGAAGCAAATGCATTGCAACTTTATGGTGTAAAATCAAAACTTCAATCGATTCGATTACGTCATCAAAGTGCTGATCATGGATTAATTAGATTGTGTATTTGGGATAAACCAACAAATAATGGACTACAACTATCTCCCATGAAAATTATTGGAAACCGTTGGGAAGCGATGTTGACCAACAGTATTCTTCGATTAGAAAATCATACTGAAGAAGCGAAAGAATAAAATATGCCAATGTATTATATTCCATCAGTCCGTGCAGAAAAATTTATCTATTAAAAACGCGTCCTATTCCGTTTCATGATAAATATCCGTGCGTTCGAGAGATTTGTTTAATTCAACCATTCATTCGACAAATTCTTTTTCAGAGATCCGACTATCATTTGCCATTTTATGGTCAAGTTAATGAATCATCTTATTTTCAAACAAGTCAAATAACACATGTTGGTATGATCATTGACAATAATCGGGAATATTTGAATTTTTATGATGATGTTCTTGGTTTTCGACGTACTCGTGATGAAATAACTTGCACAAGTACTTTTGACAAACCTAGCAATCGAATGATATTCAATCTTCAAGAACATGAAAGTTATGCGACCACTGATTTTGACGACCCTCGTTCATCAACAGACGATCCTCAACAAATGCATTCAGGACAATTAAAAATTATTCGTTTTTCAGACAAAACTCAATTGGATAACAACATCTCTTATGCGAATCCGGGCTCTCTTGGTTATTCTCTCTATACATTAAGAGTTAATTCTATTCAAATGTCTCATGAAAAATTCGAAACAGCAATGTAACTAATATAACTGATATTTGTCTGAATGAATTTGATGAACAATCATTTTCATTTATCGCACCAGATGGATATTGTTGGTCCATTTTACAATCAAACGATGTTGAAGCTCAATAACATGAACATTATTGATGATCAAAAAAGAAATAGCACAAGTTATCATTATTGATTTCAAGCATTCTTTGTTTAAAAAAAAAAACTTTTATCTTTCAATTTTGTTTTGTTATTTGATTAGAAGATGAAAATTGTATTTAAAACAGAATTCTCAGGATAGTCGAAGAGAATTTTTTTTAGTTTGATTGATTAATTGATGTTATAATACTACATTCGACGAGGGATGCTAGTGTGCAGTCAAGAATAGATATCGTTGATGTTAGAACTAGCATCTTCTTCGATTTGTAAAATAAATCCTCCTTGAGAGTGAATTTCGTGGAAAGTTAAATAAATTCCATGATCGGTTTTCAAGTTAGTACTTGAGCTTGAACAACACAAGTGAAACAGAATATCAATAATACTAGAAGCATTTTTTTCTCGATGGAGAGTGCACAGTGCATAATTGTAGTCAACTTGTAAATGATGAAGTCAACAGATGATGTTGCCTGTTGCGTTTGATGTTCTAGCTGTACTAAGATGAGTTTCATTCTAACAAAGTTATAGTACGTCACATGCAAATGAACAACTTTATGTAGTAGCATAATTCTGCACAAACACTCATTTATTGATTTTAAATATTTTCTTTATTGTACGATCAATCGAATACATATAATGAAGTCATGTATCTATTATCTTCTATTATATTTCGAGCAATGAAATGGTTAAACAATTATATTTCAATACACTCATTCTATCTCCATGTTGTTCTGAGTTGAGAAGTTGTGGATGTAAGTCTGGAAGAGAACAATATGCACATCCATAACTCATATCCTGTTAGTTTTGTGCAATTTTAAAAACAACTTATTTATCACTTCTCGTGAGGAAATCACATATTTATTTGGAAAAACTAGCCAAAAAAAGGCACATATCTTGTTCTATATCACTTGTTGCGAGGTATTCCATGAAACGTTTTCGAATAGTTTCCGTTTGCTTCTTAGTTTTGGGATATATGCAATGTGATGGACACAATAAACAATATTAGTGGGGGTATTGGTGTGGGCGTGGGTGAGTGTAGAATAAAAGAAGCCCCACGTTCGCCAATACCTATCCCCACCAACACTTACAGCCACACCACCCATCCACACCTATACACGCCACTTTAATACCGTATAGTAAGTTTCATTTCTCAAGGGTTTCACATGGCATAATTCGATAAGCAATCGACTCGATCAAGTGTGCGGCAGGGTAGCGAACAAAAACTTAATGAGTATATCACATTTTTTGCACCATTCATCAAATTTAGAGCGTGACATTTTTCTTGTATTACCTACGAAATGAGGCAACAAGATTCTTCTGACGAACGACAATCAATCAGTGTCAGTTTATTCATTTCATGCTGAGCATGACTTTATGCAATGTTCAATTATTAAAGAGAGTATTAAGATTAAATACACGTGTTGTGAAACGTGCCATTTTTCAAATAGTCTCAACGTGTTAAACTGATGTGAGCATGTGTCTTTGATTTTCAGAGATAAAACTTTTTATTGCCGGCAAATCAACTCAAAAAAAATCGGATAGATATCTAAAGGAAACAATGACAATGTCTGTAAGTACCATCTACTAAATATTGACGCATATAAAGATAATGGTCGGATATCATCTATATAAAGTGTTCATGCTATTAAAAATCTAGAGAAATGGTCTTCATCAACTCATCCGAATCAAATAAAACAGTTGTGTTTGTAGAAACTCGCGTTTGAATAGAGTAAATACACTTCCTCAGTGTACAACGCTCAATAAAAGCGTTAAGACACAACAATAGTGAAGAAAAGATGAAAAATGATCATTTTGAGATGTTCGAATTAAATAAACGAATGACACTCGCAATAAAAGTGCAAAAATATTTCCATTATCGAATTAGTTTTCTCTTCACATCTTTGAATTGTTTTCTCTCGGTCAACAGGATTTCTAGATAGATAAAAGCAAACACAGCTGTCCACCTTCCTAGACAGAACTAAAGATAAATACGTCTTTTATAAAATATTGATGGACAACCAGTTCTTAAATATATAAGCACAAAACCAAGACTCTATTCAAATCGAAAATTTTTCCAATTTTCAGTTGTAATATTTCAACTAATTGCAAATTAAGAATAGAAACTGATACATCCTTAATAAAGAATTAAGGAGCAAAATTCAGGCTGATGAATTGCAGAATACCCATTTATACACATAGATTTCTCAGTGATTAATGCATATTAAGTATGTAGAAATATCAATCAAAATCAATCCAAAAACAAGAGCAGTCATCCTATTCCGCGATGTTGCACATTGCGGAATCAGTTCCGCCCTAGGAATCAATTCCAACGATTCCGGAGTCACATCCACGCTGCACGACATTCAATTCCGGAATCCATTCTAACAGTTTCTAGATATTCCGGAATCGATTCCAGAAAATACCTGCAATTCCTCACAGCGCCGTCTAATTCCGGAATCGAATGAAACCGGAATCGGTAGGAATTACTAGGCATTCCAGAATTGCTATACCTAGTATTATTCTATCACCTCTTATGAATCTAATGATGATCCAATTCCGGAACGGAATTCCGTGCGATTCCGTCTCGACTCAATTCCCGGAATTCCGTGCCG